TGAACTTACAGGGCCAGCGCATATTCCTGTTCACTTGACAATTGACACTAACATAGAACTAGAAACTCGTGTGGGAAATTTTATTTTTGATATTAATAGCTAAGCAGATATGACTATTTTGTTCAACCTTTATATTTTTAATGATAATTTTGCTTTCAGAGGGACACAAGATTCAAAGCCCTCCTTTTTCCTAGCCAAAATCACATTTTATTAAATAAAACTCTCTTTTATTTCTTCCCAACTGTTTGATTTGGCAAAATATGGCTTACGAATTTTAGTTCTATTTCATAGTTCATATGATTATGAAGGAAATATGGTTTACCTGAATATGTAAAGCATGGAAGCTTAGAATTGTTGTCCTAGATTTGAATTGATCATACTCAGTGGAAAGCTCCAGTCCACGGATTATGTTTCCCAAACCAAATCCTGATATTTTGCGTCTTGACTCCAATAAATGACAAACCTGTTCCAATATTTCTTCTCAATTAAAATCATAGACCTTTCATTTGGATTATTATAGTTTTCTTATTTCATTTTTAAATATAGTATAAAGATATTTATATGTATGTCTACATAGCTGTCGAATAGAATTAGTTTTCAGTTAGGATGCACCTTGAATGTCTGTGGTTAGTAATTGGTAATGTCCACTCGTTAACAAAAGCGACAATTCAGAGAATGTGGCGGATAATGATTTAATTTTGTTTAAATATATTTTTATTCTATGTATTTTTGTAAAATTTTAATTTTAAAGTATGATTTATTTACTTTTTAAAAACAGTTTTTAAAAATAAATTGTAGTATAAATTTTAAGAAGTAAATTAAACATACTCTTATCTTTCTATGTTTTTATTTTAGCCTTTACATTTTTTTAAATTATTAGTTTTGGTCGTTATCATTAATACAACTTTATAATTCACACTTAATAACTTGAGTTTAGTTATATAATTATTTAATAGTCATCAATAACTTAAAATGATAAATTATAAAAATTAGATACTAACATTAAAAGTTTTATAAATTAAAATATCACAAAATATAAGAATTTAAACAATTGTTTTTAATGAACAAAAATATCTCTAGTCAATTATTAACTATTAATCTCTTCTCAAAATAAGAAAAATATTATCTAATAAAACTTTTGCAATTGATTATGAGTCAAATTTAAATCCATGTATTTTTATGATGTTAGAATTGATTGAAATAAAGTATCTTAAAATAAGTCTAATATTGTTTAAGTTTTTAAAGAAAGATAAAAGTCAAGGTTATAAATATTGACCTTAAATTCTTTGTTTCAAGATATATTAGTTAAAAATACTCTAAGCCTGTGTATGAGTTTTTTTATATTTTTATTTTAGAGTGTTGTAAAATGTAAACCAATTAAATGTTTTGGAGAATGTGAGGGTATTAGAGCTATGGAGTAGTTATAAAAAGGTTTATAAGATGTAAAATTTGTTATATAATATTATGTTTTGGTTGTTTTTAGATAGCAATTATGATTTTTCTTATATTTTAAAATTTTTATGTTAATTCTTATATTACTATTGCAAATACTTGAATTTTATTTAAAAAAGTTTTTATACACACTATGAACGTAAGTTTCATACCATGTTTGTCGTTACTAGAACTGACATTAAAATTTCTGCCGCTATAGTGGGAACCACCACATCACTCCATTTGATCATTCCATCATTATTATTGATATTTCTACTATCACTCCTTTTCTCTCTACCTTTTTTCTTCTCTTTCTATTCCTCAACTCTTTTAGAACCACAATGAACAATTCCTTCACTTTCAATCTTTTTTTTTTTCTCTCAACCCATTATCTCTAACCATAGAAGCTCCTCCCTTACCCATCTTTCTTCCTTTCCTCCTTTCTCTCTCTCTCTTTCACACAAAAACTTATTACCCAAACCATAGTCTCCATCAACTTTTCTTCCTCTCCCTCACAAACTATGGCCTCCATCAACCTATCCTCTTCTCCCTCTCTCACATTAAGACCCATTACCCAAACCATAACCTTCATCAATGTTAACTATGTCCCTCTTCATGACTCTCCTTTGAAAAGTTCATTTGGTACTCTAAAATTTTGGACATTTTTTTTTTCTAATTTTTTAAAGAGATTTAGGCTAGTTTAGTATGATTTTTTTTCTTAAAAGGAACTGAAGTAGTGTTCTGCGACCCAACACACAAAAAAGGGCCTAGAAAAAAAATGTATTTTTTAAAATTTTTGTATCATTTTTATTTTATTTTATTAATTGTCGATCCTTATTTCATTTATCTTTAACCTATTTATTTATTCTTTAACATTATTATCTTTTAATGTATAATTTTAAAATATTGATATAATTTGATTTTATATTTATGTTTAACCTTCTTTTATTTCCTAGTTAGTAGATTACATTTTTAATTGATCAATTAAATAAAAAATTTTAATTTATCAACATATATTTGTTTAGATTTTTTTTAATTATAAAATTATTAATTGATTCATTAAATTAAGTTAAGAATTATTTTAATGCAACGATTTGTAACATTATTATATAGTATTTTTGTCTTTACGCGTTGTAAATTTATGACCTTTATGTATCAATGTTACCTTAAGTCTTATGTAATACGAATTTATCATATGATATTTTAATTTCTCTTAATCAAATATTTATCTTTACTAATCAATTTAAATATATTTTTCAGTTTTTCTTTAAATATTTATCTTCTCATTAAGAGAAATAACTAGATATTAGGTTACTTAAATTTATTTTATTTTATTATATAATAGTTTGCAATACTGATGTGTGATTCACATTTATGTATAGTTTATGTTCTCTTAATTTACAACATAGATGTGTGACTTTTCTTTACCTTTTATATTGTCTATTGTAAGATAATACGTATAGCTGCGCTATTTTGTATAAAAAAAGATAACATTTTATTTTTAAGAAAACAAAACTAATCAAATTCCTTTAAAATCTTCAATTTTAAGTTAACAAATTAGTTTTACAAAACTTTAGATAGAACTACGTGACTTTGTATTTTTCATTGCACTTGGAGATATATAGGAGCAGGGATGATACTCGTCAAGTCAAAATATTTTTTAAAATATTTTTTTTCTTTTCAAACATATAAATTAATATTTTAGTAAATAAATTTTATTCTTTTAAAATTAAAAATAACAACAATTATTATGTAGGAGTTAAATATTTTTTAAAATTATAATAAATTTATACAATTAATTTAAAGTAAATGTTAATTAACTAGACATTATAGAGTACCAATATTTTCTTACACGTAAATTACTTCAAACTCACTGTTTTTTTAAAAGATCATATTGTTTTAAATTTTTTTAAAAATTTTCTTTAATAAACTTTAATAGTAGCTCTTTTAATTTTTTAAAAATATTTTATTTCTCAAAAAATATTTTTCTAATCACATTTCACTGTCACTAACATTGTGATAACAATTATGTTATCTTTTTTTTTTATTATTTCAAGGAAGTTCTCAAGAAAAAAGCTATCATTTTTCCAACACAAAAGGAGATAATTATTTATTAATTGTGCTGCTAAAATTTGATTTTATAATAGATTTTTTAGTGAAAGTTTTACTTTTAGAAGAATTGTCTTTGCTAAACTTCGAGTAAGAAGATTTTTTTTTTCTTGTTTTCTATTTCTTTTATTGTAAAATCTATACCAAATTAAGAGGTAAATGCATTGGTATAGACCACGATAATATCTTTCATATATATTCCATGTGAAAGCAAATTTAAGCATGTTGGAGAGACATAGTCGTCCACCTTTTGTATACCTTGTGTTTTCATTCTTTTATGCTTTTATTCTTATAATTATTATTACTACTATTATTATATTCAATATTGTGGGGGCAAGACTGCCTTCTGGTTTTGTTATCCTTTCTTGTGGGTGAAGTTAGGTGAACAAGTTGATGCTCATCATTTTGATGTTGTGCCTGTTATATGTACACATCCTACAGTTTTTCGTGTATGGTTATTTCAAACTTTTTACACAACTTTTAAATCGCTTTATCATTTTTTTTATTGGAACAGACATGAACACCTGTAAGGTTTCGATTCTTTGAATCAAAATTTGAGTTGCAAAATGTGGTCATCCATTCTCTTCCCAATACAACTTTATCATGCGCTTTATCATGAAATTTGAACATACAACTTCCGAATTCGAGTCACAGTAAGATATGTGAATATTTTACAATGCATTAAATTAAAAATCTTCTGTTCTGTAACTATAATGGATAAGTTAATATCACTTTAATAAGTTTTTAATTCTTGTAATATGATTCAATTTAGTTTTATTTTCTAATATTTTATTAATTTTAGTCTCTATAAATTTTCATATTTTAATATCATTTTATGTTGACGCAATATGCATTTAATCATGTTACATTAATAACTATTTTAAGATACATATTAGTAAGCAATAATAAAAAATTACTTTTAAAATTTTTAATATTTATGAGACTAAAGTTAACACAATATTTTTTTAGCTAAAATCAAAATTAACTATATTTTCAAAGATTAAAAATATATTTTACACGCTTGATATTATGTAATTATAAGCTTATTGATAATCATGAACAAGTTAAATAAAAAAATTTAAAAAAATTTAGGTGCATAAATTAATTTTAACTTAGGCAAAAAAAATTTGTTGAGAACTTTGTCAAAGCAGATTAATGTGCTTTTGAGCTTTCAATAATTTTATAATTTAATTTGACTATCCCAACAAATATTTTCAGAGCGTGCCCTTCATGTAGTGTATGGCAATTAACACGCTCTTTATGTGTGAACAATTAGAACCGCATTTTGACACATAAACATGGCACTCGTCATGCTCATCGTTTTCGTTTGGTGTGACAGAAAGTTACTTCTAATGAAATGGTAATCAAGCAAATTCAGTTGCTAGACAAAAGTTTCATTTTCTTTAAATCTCTTTCTTCACAAGGGTGTTGATTTATCTTTTGTCTGTCCAATAGGAATTACAGACAATAACAAGATGAGAAACCATGTTAAACTTACTACTTAAAGTCATTACAATTTCTCGTTCATGTTGTTCCATTTGTCCCCAACTTGACCCCGATAGAATAGACGAACTTTCTCATTGTGGTGGTCATTGTTTTGTCATTATAAGGTACCTATACATTTGTTTGTTGTATATAAGTTTTTTAATTCATCATAATTTGCCAAATCGTTGCAAAATGGAAACCTCACTGCCTCTAGCCACTGAAAGCTTCTCATATAGTTGGTTACCAAATTGCAGAACCCGTTCAAACAACCTTAAGGAGCCTCTTCTAGAATCTACTTACAATATAAGTGAAGGCACTACAAACACCCCTTTTATAGAAGAATGCCAAAACTTCAATTTTGATATTTCCATCACTCAATCACCTTCTGTTCTTGCTCTTGCTGATGAAATTTTCTCTGATGGCCTTATTAAACCACTATTTGTTGATCCTTCCAAATTAGAGTCCTGCCATACCACCCCAGATTCCACACAATCCAAGCCTAGTTCTTCCTACTCTTCAAGAGTTACTTCTCCAAGAACAGTGGAAATCCATCATGGTTTCCTTACAAAGTGGAAAACCTCTACATGTAGAACCTTGAGAAACCTTTCTAGGTATGTTAATCAACTATGTCAGAAAGTTGGAAGCTCAAGGAAAAGTACTAGAGTTGATGATTTTGATAAGGAAGAGTGGGAAGTTAAAAGCTGGAGCAGTTCACAGCAAGCATCTCCAAAATCAATTACTGTCAAGCCCATTGGTGCTTTGCATGATCATGAGAACTCAATCTATGAAGCAGTCCTCCACTGCAAAAGATCAATAGGTATGCTTATGTTTTTTTTCTTCTTATATATCTGAGTCTGAGTATATGATTAGTTAACCTTGCAAATTAACTTCTTCCATGTTTTTCATTGCAGAAAAATGATCCTTCCTCAAATAAAGAGAAGAGAATTTGTAGAAGGAAATGGGTGGCAATTGACTATGCATGTTAACTTGAATGTTATTTTATTTCTTTACTTAAACAAGAAGAGGTGCTTTGGCAGATACCAGCTGAGGGATTTATAATACAAATTTCAGGAAATGTTGGGTTGGATCCTACTGCTTCATGATTTTGTACAGATAAGAACTATGTCACAAACTATATATGTATTGTATTCTTATTGTATAAAAGATAACAATTAATCAATTCCTTCTTTCTTCTCTTTTGTTTCTCACTCTAAAATGTCAATAAAATTTCAGCAATGAGGTTTCACTGAAAAGTGTTTATAAAAACAAGGTTACTTCAAGCCATGAACATGATGATTATAGCACATATACACTACAAGAGAAAGCAGGATGGCTAAATTGTGAACCATGACAAGAATATGTAAGAAAAAATCTATATCATTTACTTCAATATACAAGACCTACCACTAGGAAAAAGAATACCAAAGTGCCCTCTCAAGGGTCCTTGCATTTCTCTATCTCCATTGCTATTTCTTTCCCTTTTCAATGTTACTTATATCCTAGTTGGAGGGGAGCCATCTGATCTTATGTGCTTTTGCGGAAACCTTCTTTTTGTGCCATGGTGAGACAAGGTATCAAGAGATGAAGTGTTACATATATAGGGTGGTTCTCAGTGGCTGATAAGTTAATTATTCGGTAGCTTATTTGATTGCTCCCTTGTCAGTAGTGAATTTTTCCTTTTCTACTCACCTTGCAACCAACAACCAATACGGTACTTTGTCAATTCAAAAATGGTACCTTATTCTGAAGATGTGAAATAGTTAGGAATGTTTGCTATCGAAAGCAAAATCACCAGGGGGAGCCTACTCCGAGTCTGGACCATTGTGGCAACTTTAGTAAACGTAAGCCTATACATTTTTCCTAGAAACATTGGACCATTTTGTTTGTTTTATTTTTAATTATTAAAAATGACACATTGCTTTTGTTTTTTAATATTTTCAATTTTTTCATAGGAAAGATTGAAATTAAAAAAAAAAAAGAGAATATTTTTATAATTAAAAATAAAATAAAAATAAATATTTTCTCAGTCGAAACAACCCCTTTGTTCCAATAGAGTTGTTTGACACGCAGAGACAATTTCACGGAAAAAAAAAGGAAAAATGATTAATTTACACCATGAAAGACTTCCCACATAATTTACAATAAAATTCTATTATTTAATAATTTTAAAATACAACGTAACTTTATCAATTAAACCACTAAATATAATAATATATTATTTTTTATATCAAATCTTATAAAAACTGAGCAATAATAAAAATAAATAAAAATAAATTTTATTTTTTGCATATTTTAGAAATATATTAAATTATTTAAATTAATATAAAATTTTACAAATAAATTTATTTTGTAAAAATTTTTAATTTTGTTGTTTCATATGCATACAAACAATTTTATTTTGATGTATAATATTCAAAATGTCAAAGTGCACTAGGCCTAGCGAATTAATAAGTCTAACCTGTTATAAATGGCAGCGAAATTAAATATTTTGTACTTGTCGGTCTATTTAACTCAGTCAAATTGCTGGCCAGAGCGGTTGCCTATCAGACCCATTTTTTAATTTTTTAAAATAAAAATAATTATTTATTAATTAAATATTATTTTGTATCAATATAAAAATATTTTTTATAACTTTTTTTTGTTAATTTTAGATAAACTGCTTCATTAATTTATTAGTCTATCAATAATTGTTAAAATTTTTAGTTTTTGTCGAATAAATTAACCTGTTAATCTGTTTGTCCACCCTAAGTCAGACTAAAAAATTTAATGTTTTTTGAAAAAAAAAATGATTTTGTTCATTTTATCGTGGACTTTTTGACGAAATAGGATGAACATATTTTGACATTCTTATATAATTACTTTTAAAAATTTAAAATTTAGTATGAGCTAATATATATATATATATATATATATATATATATTATACATTCTTATATTAGTATAAGTTTAAATATTATTATATTTAATTATTTGAATTGATTTTTAGTACTTAATATAGTGCAACATGTTTTCTTCAAGATTTACTTTCTCGCTTCAAGAAAAGGAGGAGGCGGCGCTGCTAGGGTTTCTTTTCCTAGCCATTTTTGTGATAAATCAAGGCCTTTCCATCTTGTGGATAGCCAACACTCATCACGTATGAGAATCTCTTATTCTCAGCCCTTTCTAATTTTTTCTAATCATGGATCGTTATGAGGCAGAGAAGCACTCTACAAAAGAGCTTGACCAAATGCACTGAAGCACAAAGAAAGTGAAGATGGGTTCAGAGATTACCAGGGAAGGACTCTCCTAGAACATGCCAGGAGATCAATATTTTGCAGTTTTGACTCAGCAAAGGAGTAAAGGGGTGGAGCAACATCAGGGGAAACATCGAGATAAAGTTAACCCAGATCTGAAAGATTAGGTTATGGACAATGCTGAAATACAGTCTCAGGCGTCAGTAAAGGAGCACAAGGGAGGCATGCATGAAGGTCTCTGTTCAGTAGACCGGATTCCATCCTAGGTGTCTTCAAATCCTATTATTGCTAATTTTGTTTCTTATAAAGATAAGGTGTTAGGGTCTAATGATCTAGATCTAACTCTAAATAATGATGAAATAATAAAATATGTACTTGAAGACTTTAACCTACCCCTTGAATAAGAAGATGCAGTAGAATCAATCTCAGATAAGCTCAATCTCTGTCCTGAACTAAAAATCTCCCTTGACGACTATAAAGTCTGGTGCTCACCTTGGAAGTTCACCCTCATAGTCAAATTGTTTGGTAAGTCAGTAAGCTTTAACTATATAAGTCAAAGATTGAATAATTTGTGGGAAAAAAATGGATCTTTACAAATTCTTGATCTGAATAATGATTTTTTTCTAATAAAATTTGAAAAACAAGAAGACTATAAGCTAGCTCTATTTGATGGACCTTGGATGATTCTTGATCATTACTTGCTTGTATAGAGGTGGAGACCTCTGTTTAGAACCAAGGATTTAGTCTTAAGAAAATAGCAGTTTGGGTTCAGATCCCAGACTTACCTTTAGAACTTTACAATAACAAATTTCTTTGGCAAGTTGGTTCCTGCCTTGGGTCTTTGTTAAAAATAGACCCCTATACATCCTTTAGTCTAGAGAAAAATTTGCTAGAATTTGTGTTGAAATTAAAGTCCTGGGATAGGTTTTCATAGTAGAAAATGAGGGTTTATACCTCATCTGTTTTAAATGTGGGAAGTATGGGCACAAGAAGGATTCTTATGAGGCCCTTCAGGATAATAACCATGAGGAGATGGAAATGGATAGATCTTGATAGCATGCATTATTTGTGCACATTTTCAATCCTTTAGAGCATGTAAATTACCTTTCATGTTCCCTTATTTCACAAATTATGGCATTTCTTAGTTAATTGGATGATAGGAACTCAATTTCAATTAATGTCTAAATTCTGTTTTTAGACCTGCACTCACTGTTTTGATCGTAACTTTTTCCAAAGATGTCCGTTCGGTCTGATTCCAGTTGCATTGGATTCCTCATTTTCTGGGCTATAAAATTCATATGCAGATCGTCCAAATTGAAGCTGTTTTCTATTTTCTATAAATTTTTGAAGTTAGGAAAATTGTGCAGGAATTTTTGTATTCGAATTTTGTTCTTGTAATTTCATTTCATTTGTATTAACATTTCATTAGCTTGTAATTTGGGTTGTTTAATCACACTTGTGGGCCCTTCCTTTTAGTGTTGGATCTGATCATAAGTGGTGCCTATTAATATGTTAAAGGCTCCACTTTGAAAACGGTTTTTTTTTTTGGTTTTTGTTAAAAATTTGGTTTTGGCTCCTAAAATTCTCTCTGGAATTCTCTCTCTTCTCTTGGTGTGACTTTTCATTTTCTTCTCTCTTTTCTTGACTTGGCTGAGCATTGGATTCAATGGAAGGCTAGGCTTCTTGGATTGATACACAAGGAATAGGGAATTGCAAGGAAGATTCAGAGTGGCTCCAAGTTTGAATTCTCTTTTCTCCTCTTCTCTTTCGTTTTTCAAGATATTGATAACGTTTGGGGATAGGAATTGAATTGAATTGCGATTGTAGTTTGATTCATGAAATTGAATTAGATTGATAGATCTATTAGTCAAATTCGTAATCTAGTTTGTTAGCAAATTCGATTGAATTAGTTAATGGATTAGATGTTCAAATTAGGGAAACAATGAAGGATGTTGTTTGCATGAACCTATGACTTGTGGATCAATTAATTCTCATTAGATTTCTCTTTTATTCCAAAATTTTATGCGTTTGATCAGATTATTCTTAAACTCTCAAAATTCCCTCAATCTTTTGTTTCATTTTAACAATTCGGCAAAGAAGAATTAGATACAAACGTGTCCTCGAGAATTCGACCTTAGTTGACATTATTCTACAAATAATTGCGAAAACCTTGTGCATTTGATAAGTGTTCGACAAAGCTATATCAGATCTCACCCAATAAGTCAAAGAGATAGTGAGGAACCTAATAGGGGTAATTCAAATGATAGGAAGGACAATCTTGGGCTTGTTAAGAATCAGGAGGCTGAGAATGGATGATCCATTTGGACCTTAGATGTTAGTCAAGAAAATGGTTAGAAAAAAAAATCCAATTATACTAATATCACGATATCCCTCCCAAAACTTGAAAAGGTAAAAGATTACCCAACTGGGTCAAGGTTTGATATACCAGGTCATTCAGATAAGGAAGTAGACCAAGATGTAGAATCAAAAGACTTGAAGATCCATGAACCAATTGTAGGTAGTAAGGTTATTCATAAGGGTCTTAAGTATAAACTAGATAGGAAAATCCCAAATAATTCCAAATTAAGTAACAGTGGCAAGAAATTTCCCGAATCTAAGTTTGTTAATAAATTGCCTATTTCAGTGAAGGAAAAAAATGCTTGTATTACGATAGATAACCTTAGTAATTCTTTTAATATTCAAAATGAAAATGTTAATAGATCAACCCAAGATAATATAGAAACCTTAAGTCTTATGTCTATCATACAGAAAAGTATTCAAGAAAATTGTAAAGGGAGTCATAATATCTTTGATCTTATAGGTCTTAATCCTGATATTACTTGGCAGATTGAGAAAGAGTTTTTCCAATCCCCTTTAGAAAAACCTCCTGACCCACTTCTATTAATGGAGGTAGATAAAGCTGGTATAAAGACCTTGACTTCTCCTGAGCATAGCCATGTTAGGATAGATTTTGCTGAGTATCCCTTAGATACTCTTTATCCTTGAGTTTTGCTTTTATGAACTATTTGTTTTGGAATTGCAAAGGTGCTGGGAGAAAATCCTTCCCCAGACTTATTAATTATCTTTCCAAAATTTATCACTTAGATTTATTTTTATTTTTGAACCTAGGATCGGGGCTGATAAAGCTATAATG